CTCCCATCAGCCGTGACCTGGGGTCAGGCTTAGCCCAGCCTCAGCTGATCTGATGATCGGGGGAGCTGAGAAGTCAGAGCTGAGAAAGAGCTGGGCACTTAGCTGACACTGATTAAATGTCTGTTACCTGAATAGCTGGAGGAAGGCATGAGATTCTGTCTACCAACATGTGTATAAATACGTGTTAAGTGAACAGGGAAAATGACTGAAGGAATGATTGTGTGGCTAAGGCTTTTCTCCTGCCTCAGTTTTGCCACCAAATGCAGCCATCCCCTCACTGGGCTGTTTTTTGAGTGCAGAAGTGTTTACTCATCTCTGGGTGTTAAGCATAATGTCTGACATAGCATGGATGTATAATAAATCTCCACTGAATATTTTTTTGTTTTGGAGGAAGATTGGCCCTGCGCTAACATCGGTTGCCAATCTTCCTCTTTTTCTTTTTTCTCTTCAAAGCCCCAGTACACAGTTGTGTATCATACTTGTACAGCTGTAGCTCTGCTATGTGGGACGCTGCCTCAGCATGGCTTGATGAGCAGTGAGCAGGTCCTCGCCCAGGATCTGAACCGGTGAACCCTGGGCCGCCAAAGTGGAACATGCAAACCCAACCGTTACGCCACTGGGCCAGCCCCTCTGCTGAATATTTTTAAAAATCAACGGATGATGTCACAGAGACAGAACATGGAATGGTGGTGGCCAGGAGCTAGGGAAGGAGGAATGGGGAGCTGTTTACTGGGGAGAGAGTTTCAGTTTTGCAAGATGAAAAGAGTTCTATGGATGGATGGTGGTGACGGTTACACAACAATGTGAATGTACTTAATGCCACTGAACTGCATGCTTAAAAATAGCTAAGATGGTAAATTTTATGTTATGTGTATTTTATCACAATTAGAAATTAAAATTAAGGGGCCGGCCCGATGGCACAAGCGGTTAAGTGCACACGCTCCACTGCGGCAGCCTGGGGTTCGCCAGTTTGGATCCCGGGTGCACACCGACGCACCGCTTGGCAAGCCATGCTGTGGCAGCGTCCCATATAAAGTGGAGGAAGATGGGCATGGATGTTAGCCCAGGGCCAGTCTTCCTCAGAAAAAAAGAGGAGGATTGGCAGATGTTAGCACAGGGCTGATCTTCCTCTCACACACACAAAAATAATAAAATAAAATTAAAAAAAAAATCAATGGATGATGGATAAACAATTGAATGAAATGACCTGGCGTCACAGCTGCCAGGGTATGGAATCTAGATTGAAAATGGCTACAAATTTCTGCAACTCTCCATCAAGAGTTGAGATCTATTTCCTCACACCTTGAATCCGGGCTGGAATGTGCCTCGATTTGACCAGCAGAACAAAGCAGAAGTGACACTGTGCGATTTCCAAGCCTAAGCCTCGAGAGGTCTTGCAGGCTTCCACTCTTGCCCTCAGGGAATTCTTCCACCACCACAGGAAGAAGCCCAGGTTGGCTCACTGGACACGTGGCCCAGCTGACGGCCAGCACCAACCTGACATGGAAGTGAGGTTATCTTAGAGCAGCCAGGTCCCATCGGGCTGTCAGATGACGCGTGAGCCATCTCAGGCAAGGCGAACAGAAGAACTGCCCAGCTGAGCCCTCCCAGACTGCTGACGCACAGAATCTTGATCAAAAAAAATGGCTGCTTTAAGCCATGAAGTTGTGGGGTTGTTTGTCATGCATCAGCAGATAACCGAGAGAGGGAGGAAGGTGTTAAATAAGGGAGAGCAAGAAACAGCATCCGAGTCTCCAGTCCTGCACTTGGAGATGGAGGCCACCCTGCCCTGGCCAGAGCCACCTCCTGTTTGCAGCTCTCCAAAGAGGTTCTTATCAGGCTTTGAGTCCTAAGGAAGAGTGTGACAAAGCCCGAGAAGCAGGGAGGCAGGGCGCTCCGAGCTCAAGGCTGGGGAGGTGTGAGTGGCAGGACTTCCGAGAACTTGACATTGACTCGTGAGGACAGAGTAGGGATGAGCTCCTTTGCTCTCTGGGACACTGTCATTCTGCCTCTACAAAGTTCTAACACTAAACCATGTAAGTCTGACCTTGAGAGATCAAACTGAGAATGCACAGTGAGCCCACCAGTTCATGAAAGAAGCTGCTTCTCTCATTGAAAGGGAACAGGAAATGGAGCTGAGAACCCTGAGCCACAAAGACTACACCTTTTACTAAAAGGATGCAAGTTCAGATGGTCAACACATACTAACCTGACTTTATTCAGCTTTCTCAATTTACCAGGTTCCTGAGGGACCTGGCTGGGTGCTGTGGAGGCTTAGCACCGGCACACGTGTGATCCTTGCTGGACTCTACCAGTTCTTGTTCTCAAGGCCTGTCCCAGGCACCTGTTCCCCACACTGGCCCCAGGAGCTGAGCCCCATCCTCATCCCAGAATGTCATCTGCAGCAAGTTAATAAAGATGAATGTCTCGCCCCACTAACAGCTGATTTGGGAACATTTAACAAGGTAAATTCTTAGGAGAGCAGGTATTCTCATGGGGCACAGGACGGACTTAGGGCATTTTAACTATTTCGAATTCTCTGTGCCTTTATCAACTGTGATATCAACAGCAGGGCCCAGTCCAGGAAAATCAGTGCTGCTTTCTGGGCCACTGCACCCAAGCTGTCCCTTCCCAAACCGCAGAGCACCTATTTGCCTATTACCACTAGGTATCACCCACAGGACCAGCGCTTCTCACAGCGATCCACTGCAGAGCCACACAAGAGGAATACTGAGGGCCCTGGCTGAATGGCAATGTGATGATGTACCTTCTCCCCACCTACTTCCTGCACAATGTCACTAGCCAAGGGACTCATTGTTGGATTCAGGAGCTACTGTAATTCCAGGCTCTTCCTTGATATCCTTCGCTGCCTCCCACCCCAAGCCCAGCCACCCCTTCCCCCAGTGTCCAGATCCCTAGGGAGACTCCAGGTTCCAGTCACACGGTTTTCGCTCACTCTGCCCTCTGCAGAGACTGAGGTTATTAATCTACAGTGGAAATAAAACATAACACATGCGGGATGCAGAGATTTGCCTCTTTGTTTTAGGATGTTAGGACCCAACGTAGTGGTATACTGAAGGCAGAAGGCACCTGTGCTTGCTGGATGAACCTGCTCACCTGCATCGACGCCAGGTACTCTCATAACCACCTCTTAACGCTCACGTGAAACTCACCCCAACCTCCATCTGCTTCCATTTCGCGGGAGCCATCAGCAATCACTGACTAAATGCTGCCTGTTACAACAATGCCAGATGTCCTTACCCATCTGAACCCTTGTCAAATATTTCATTTTAAGACACAGGTCCTCAGGTGAGGACCTCTCAGGCCTCTGCAGACCAACACCCTCATTGTCTTGCCCCACCCTGACCTTTCCTCCTCACAGGCCCCCTGGATGCCCACTTCCGCTGGGATGAGCAACCGCGGGACAAGTGAAACCCAAGAAATAAGCCCTTTCAAGTATCAGTGCTTGAAATCTCTGATCTAACCTCAAGTCTAAGCCCTATTCCAGGCACACAGTTGTCTTCCTCACCCCCATTACGGAAAGAACCCTCCAACACACAGCACTGAATGTTCTAGAATTCAGAGAATCCTGATCTTTTTCCTTCTTTTCCTTGGGTTAGAGACACCGGCCCTTTGGTCACTTTGCTGCTTGTTAATGTACTTCTACTGGGGCAACTAGGGAGGAGGGGAAATAAAACCAGTTAAGCCTGATACTCTTAAGCAACTCTGGCAATAATAACTAATAATAAATGAACAACGAGGAAACCAGAGTTAGCAATCCAAGGTGGGCTGTATTAGCTAATGCATGTATATGTGTGTGGGAGATCAAAATTGGCCACCTCAAAATATGTCTCCTTACCTTGATTATTTTCTCTGAAGGACATTTGACCTTCCCCTCCCAAACTGCCTAAAGAATTTAACATAGAAGGCCTGTTCCAGGAAGGAGCTACTACCATATGACAGCTGTAGCAGAATGTAAAATAGATGCGGTAAGAAAGGCACCAACAAGCCCATCTTATCAAAAATTCTGTGTCTCCAGCCACATTCTCTATAGGTGGCCCTGTAAAGAGCTGTCTGACGAAATCTGTCTTTCCACCTCCACGTGAATTGTCTTCTTCCCCTCTGAAATCCCAAACCACTATCCCAACATCCTCCTTTGTCTACCTGAATATGCTATTTAAGGTGAAAACCTCTGCCATTTGTTGAGAAACTTAGTTTCCCTGGTTTCTCCCATGTATACATGTTATTAAATTTTGTTTGATTTTTCTCCTGCTATTCGGTCTCATGTCAATTCACTTTGCAGCCAGCCAGAAAGGACCCAGAGTGGGTAGAGGATAGTCTTCCTCCCCTTCCTGTGCATCCACGGGCTATTTCAGCTTCACACGGTACAGAAAGCAGGCTCTCTCTCTTCTCTTTCACCCTCAGCACCCTCAGGACTCTCACCCATAGAGCTGACTCTTCAGGCAATTCTGACAGATCTGCAGTCTTGTCTCTGCCAATGTCTCTCTCTCGTCCCCACACCTACCCAACTTCCTATCCCTGTTGTCCTGATTTCATTTTAATAAAAGCAGCTGTTACCTGCACCACCACCCCGCCCCGCCGCAAAAAAAAGCTTCCCTCAAAGCTTTGCCTTTTGGAGCACCCCCACCTTGGTGCTAAGTGCTGGTGGCCGGACGCGGGAGCAGAGAAAGGGTCCCTAATGGGGTCGAGCCTGTTTTCTCAGGCTGGCTGGGAGCCCCAGACCAAGGACATCATCACTGGGCCCAGCTGACAGGACTGACAACTACTGTAAATTCCATCACTGCACCACACACGCCAGTTTCCTAACTCATCACAATTCTCTCCCCTCCTCGCCTCCTTTTCCACCAGCAGTGGATGCATCACCTGCAGCTGGGCAGTGGGGCCGCTGCCTTCTGAGTCCATCAAATGCTGAAAGAAAAATATGTAATGACACAACTCTTTCAAAAAGGACAAACAAATCTAAATTTAATCCAACTTACCCTTGTTTCCCAGGAGAAAGGGGCAGAGTGCTCATCTTGCCAAGTTATGTCCTGAAATAAAAATTCAAGAATAAATCTGAAATCCAAATCCAAACATATCCCATGCAAATATCCACCCAGGGCCAAGGGGGAACCAAAATTTAGGAATAATCTCAACTCCTGGCTGGAAACAAGCCTGATGTTGTGATGCTCTGCAGAGAATGTGCTGGCCTGCTTAGGCTGGCTTCATCCTCCCCTTTCTGGCTGAGGCTGCCAGGCAAGCCTCTCCCCTGTCAGACAGACACCTGATGAATGCCCGGAGGGCCCCACAGTGGACTCGACGATAGACTCGGAGCAGAAAGGGAATAGGGCCTCATGGGCTCAGCTCTCAGCCCTACCAGTGATTAGCCATGTGGGCATGGGAAGACAACAGCCTTCTGAGCCTCAGTTTCCTCATCTGTAAAAGGAGATTGTACTTGCCCTGCAGGGTTATCACGAGGATTAAATGAGGTAACACATGAAAGGAATGTCAGGCAACAATCTGCCAGCCAACGCCAATACATCTGAGCCCCCCTCTTCCCGCATGTGCCTCCCAGAGATCTGAAAGGCATTGATCAGCAAAATCAACGAAGAAAATGCCAATTTAATGCAAGTGCCTAATTATAACGAGAACTCTGAAATCACTCCCCACTCTCAACCAAGCAGAATAGTCTCTGAGAATTTGACCTTGGATCCATTATGTTTTGCTCACTGGCCTAAACAAACGACCAGGGAAATGGCCTTTCCTTGGCGACCCCCTCCAATCCCCCAGCTGTCTTCCTGTGCTAGCAAACATCTCATCTGTGCCCAGCTTCTGTTGGGGATCATATTTCCTGAACCAAAAATCGGGACACACTGGGCGATACAGACTGAAAACAGGATAAAATATTTTAAATTGAGACTGTCCTTCCATAAAGTACTTCCCACTCCAAGGTACTCCCTTCCCCCAGAGGAGGTTATCTGGCTCTCCCCTCCTCTACAAGGCAGACGGTTCTGCAGATGGGCCTGCTTCCTTCAGAGTCCACTCCATCCCCAGCTTCAGCCTCTGAACTGGTCTGTGTGTCTCCTGTCACTCCTGGCTGTCAGGCAAAACCTTAAAGATGGGAAGAAACGGGGGCCACTGCCCCCCCATTTGGAATTTCAGTTAAACCCAAGTTACTTCTCAATTCACAGACTCTGTCCCTCCAAAAATGGAAATGGGCTGCCTGGGGGAATGTGAGTTAACAAGCATTTGTGACTAGAAGTCTCCAAGCAGAGGCTGTAGGCCCAGCCTTCAGCTGTAGGGGGCTCCTGTGTTCATGTCCGTGTGTGTCTGGGGGGAGAGTGTAGTTGAGCTAAATGACCTGAAAATCCACAAAATTCTATGATCTCAGGACCCTCTAAGTTCCTCTTAGAAGTAATAAAACAACAAGGACTTTGTTTTCAGATGGGAAAAATAAAGGAGGCCAACAGAATGTAAATATCATTTATTCTAGATTTGGACCTGTGGGAAAAAAGTAAAGGAAAATAAACTGGCAAATGTGCTCCTTCTATCCAGATGTAGGACGGCCCAGCGGCCACCTCAGTGGACAGGGGAGGTGTGCTGGGCAGGCAGAGGAGGGCAGGGAGCAGGACCAAGGGCAGCGCAGGCCAGAGCTGTAGTTCCCTTATCGTGTGATATGATCTATCTTCTAAATATTAATTATGCAGCCTGAGTCTCTCTGAAATCTGCAAAAATTAAAATAATAAGGCTTTTGGCTTTGCAAGGTGAATGAGTGCAAGACTCTGAGGAATGAAGATTTAGCCTGGAGCTTGGTGAGTTCAGTCTCCAGTGGCCGCAGCCCATATAAGCCGAAATTCCGAGGGGGTCACAGACAGAGAGAGGGTCACACTGTGATTTCTCCCCAACTTGGTGTCAAGTCAATGGTCTTTTGTTTGCTCCAGCCAGAAACTGAGTCAAGGGGCAAATTCCTTAGATTTCTGCAATTCTGAGCTCATGAAAAATAATAAAGCACTTAATAAAAATAAACATGCCGAACAAAAATGTGATTGAAGCTCTGATGTCAGCCGTTGGCTGCACACTCCCGCCACAAAAGCGTTGGTGGCAAGAACAGGCTCCCCAGGCAGTTGGATGCAAAACGGCATCAGAATTGCGAAGTGGTAGCACACATGCACACGCTCGCATGCACACACACACATATACACACATGCAGGGTTCCTTTCTTCTACTCCCACGATGACCAGCAGGCAACCAAAACGTGGCCAGGCACGTGCTTGTGGACAATCACATACGCTTTCCGTAGGGGGGCTTGGAAGGCCCCCCACACCCGCCTCCCTGGCACCCAAGAGCCGAAACTATCGAAGCACCGAAACACATCTGCTGCTTAGACCTCAGGACAACATCAGGTGCGCTTCATTTTGGCCAAAAGTTAACCTCAGAGTCAAATTCTTCTCCATAAGAGACGTCCATACCAGAGGCAACACCAAACCTCTCCGGACACAATTCTTCCTCTGGAGCACAGCGCAGGAAGAAGCCTCGGGTCACCGAGTGCCAAAGGAGAAGGCCAAAAGGCAGAGGGGAAGCCACTGAGGGCCACGGGGCCCAAAGCCCCTGGCAATTATCAGAGGCCAGTGCAACATGTGGGAGGCTCGTCCAATGGCCACGCGGCTCCAGGACCCCAGAGTGGATGAGTACCAAGGCCCTGAGCTCTCACTTACCTGGAAAATGTTCACCCAACACAGTGCCACCTCCTAATGGAAACAGTATTTCTTAAAAAATAAGAACATATGTTCTCTGCCCATAGTACCAGAATGCATATCCGCATGAGAGCTCCAGCATTCACTACTTGGTAAAGAACGGATGCCAGAGTGTTATAAGATCTCTAGGGGCCCCAGATATTTTCCTTTTGGAGGCCGCAACCAGCGGTGAACTGGAGCAGGTTTGCACCAACTCATGAGAGCCGACTGTGAAATTTTTAGGAAATTTTCAAACCTGTTGTTAAACATAGCCATTATTAAAAGTTAAATTATATAACCTCACAATTAAATACATCGTATTAAAAACAAAAGTGATATAGTTCACACCCATAAGGATGGCTATTATTAAAAAAATGAAAAATAACAAGTGTTGGTGAGGATGTGGAGAAATTGGAACCCTCAAACATTGCTGGTGGGAATTTAAAATCGTGCAGCCACTACAGGAAACAGTGTGGCGGTTCCTCAAAAAAAATGGAACACAGAATTACCATTGATCCAGCAATTCCACTCCTACGTATACAGTCATGTGCTGCATGACAACGTTTCAGTCAATGACAGACTGCATATACGAGGTGGTTCCATAAGACTAGTACCATAGAGCCTAGGTGTGAGGTGGGTGACACCATCTAAACTCTATGTACAAAGAGTACACTCTATGGTGTTCCCACAACAACAAGATCACCTAACGACGCATTTCTCAGAACATAACCTCGTCATTAAGTGACACGTGACTGTATAGCCAAAAGAATTGAAAGCAAGGATTTGAACAGATACTTGTATGCCAGTGCTCATTATAGCATTATTCACAATAGCCAAGAGGTAAACACAACACAAATGTCCATCAACAGATGAATAAACAAAATGAACAAACAAAAAGTTATTGTTTAATGGATACAGAGTTTCTGTTTGAAGTGATGGAAAAGTTCTAGAAACCGATAGTGGTGATGGCTGCACAACATTGTGAATATACTAAATGTATACTTAAAAAAGGCTAGAATGTTAAATTCTATGTTACGTACGTATATTTCACCACAATAAAAAAAAATCTGAAAAGGCTACGTACTGTATGATTCCAACTACATGACATTCTATAAAAGGCAAAAACTATGGAGACAGTAAAAAGATCAGTGGTTGCCAGGGGTGAAAGGGAGGGAGGAATGAATAGGTAAAAGCACAGAGGATTTTTAGGGCAGTGAAATACTCTGCACAATACTGTAATGGTGGACTTTTCTCAAAACCCATAGCAGGTACAACCCCAATGTAAACTATGGACTTTGGGCCATAATGATGTGTTAATGTAAGTTCACCCCTTGTAACAAATGTCCCTCTGGTGGGGGATGTTGATAGTGGGGTAGGTGGTGCATGTATGGGGGTAGGGAGTGTGTGAGAACTCTGTACTTTCCACTCAGTTTTGCTTAGAACCTAAAACTGCTCTAAAAAATAAAATTTATTTTTCAAAAAAGTGTGTCCCCTCCCCCCAAAAAAAACTCACAAAGGTAATAAATACTCAAAACTCATCCTTTCCTAATCACTTGAGTACAGTTTGTTATTGTCTATACTCCTGAGGTTATTTACATCTACTGTATCTGCAAGATGTAAAGTACATGGACAACAGGACACAGCAGTGCTACTGCCCCTCCCCGCCAGCTCCCGGTTCAGTGAGTCGCCTGGGGGCTTTCGAGAGGCCCTTGGGGAACGGCTGCTCCACAGCAATCAGCAGTGCTACCCATCCCCTCGCTCCCCAGGAGCCAATGTTCAACATTTACAGCACACTCAGGCTGGAACCAGTATCAAACATACTGAAATTCACCACATTCTACATTAAATGTAATTTTTGTTACTAAATTTTAAAAGGATTTTGGTAATTTTGCTTTTGAAGTTATTTGGTTATAAGTAACTCATCTATAATTGGTTATGACTTCTCTGTAAAAGTAAGGACTATTCTAAAATGAGACACTCTGGTCTTAAAATTCATTTCAAATGTGGTGAAAATTTCTAAATATTAATCTTTCCTCTTAAGTTGATTGGAGACTATTGAGCATTTATTCTTTTATAGCTTTCTTTCCAATTTTAGGTCCAGTGAATTTTACTGCTGTGTCTCCAGCGTGTGGGACGGAGAGCACCTGTGGACAGGACTGTCTGCAGTGAGTGTCCCCTAGGCACCCCATAGGTCGGCCTGAGAAAGGAAGTGGAGCCCAGGAGCATGGGCCTCTGAGCTCCCACTACACAAAGCCAGGCCGCCAGCAGCTAGCAGACAGGAAGCGGGACCTTTCCTGTAACACTCAAAGAATTGCTTC